CACCACACAGGCAAGACTACCACAAGACCTCATCACAGAACTAAGAACAAAGAGAATGGAGATACTGTGTGGGACTATACCAGGCCAGAGGTAAAAGGGAATGGCATCCAGCTGGGGGCAGCTATCCCCCCAGAAGTCACTTGGGGCAGAGACTGAGGCTGACAAAACATGAATTCTGTAGCATAGAACAATACTGGGACAGCTTTGAAATCCAGCCCAAAGGGATATTGAAATCAAAGGGGAACAAGAGAGAAAGTAAGTAATAAGAGACTATGAGGGGAAAAGACAACTAAAATTACCAGAGAAATCAGAAGGAAGACAACTGTTAAAGAACGTGAGCATAAGCAAGCAAAACAAAAGGGAAGATATTAATAACCAAAGGAATATGTTCTCCAGATTAGCAAAACAATTCCAGGCATCTATGAATAATATTTTAAGACAATGGAAAATGAATCAACATCTGATGGGAAGAGGATCCTGTGGATTCCAAAGAAATCATTATTTCCAGAGAATTCCAAAGAAAACAGTATGACATTCCCAAACTGTTTAAAAGAGAAATAAAAATTGTGAAAACAGAATTTATAGCCTGCAAAATAGAAATAAGCAGCAGAAGAGAAAAACCTGAATCCACAGTGTGGCAAACTCACTAGGGAAACAAAAGAAAGAGGAACTGATTAGAAATACAGACACAGACAGGACTTCTAGGAGACAAGACGGCAGAATAAGCAGTAAGTTGCTCTCATATTCCCTTACTGACCTTGAAAAACTCAGAGAATATTTCCCAGGAAAAATCCTAGAATAGAAAAATACCTAGACGAGGTACACCAGTTTTTTAACTCAAGAGGCTAGAGAGATTAACAGGAAAGATTCCTCTTGCTGTGGCTAAAAGGAACCAGCACAGGACAGGAGGTATCCCAACAAGCCCCATCTCACCAAGCAGCAGGAGATCCTGAACCCCAGGGTGGTGGAGTAGGCAAGTGCCAACACCAGGCACATACCAGCCATCACCACCAGTTAAGCTACCAGACCCCTACAGACTCCAGCTGCCAGCACCTGACGCCATAGCGCAGAAAACCAGTAACCAGGCCCCTAGCCTCAAGCACAAGAAGCGATTGACAGTGCACCCTGTATCCAAGAAGCAGAGATCAACTTTAAAAGCCAGAAAAAGGGCAAACACCATAAGCAAGAAACAAAGAACACTGACCATAGAGAAGTATTATGGTGACAGGGAAGATCAAAACACAAATTCAGGAGAGGACAACATTGCCAATATACCCACATCCAAAACCTCAAAAGGGAATATGAACTGGTCTCAAAGCCAAAAACCTCTTTTGGAAAAGCTCCAGAAGGATTTTAAAAGTCAAATAAGAGAGGCAGAAGAAAAATTGAACAATTCCTTTAAAAATACAATTGACAAAATTTTTTTTAAAAAAGCACACTGAAGAAAACAACTCCTTAAAAAGGAGAATTGGATCTTGAGCAGCATGCTTCTTGGAAAAGCATAAGCATCACCAGCATAGGATTCCTTAGTAGCTAAAGTTATGCCATGGGATAAGAGGTCTGGACCATGCAAGTCTCATCATTGCCCTGAATTTCTCAGGGAGTGTGGAAAAGGTGATTCTTGTCTAGCAACCCTTCAAACAATATTTATTGTCTTGGGAGGAATCTATTCATCTATTTTAAAATTTTATTTCTGCATTTGTTAATGAGTATTGTGAATCAATTGTGTCTTATGTACTTTCTGAAGGGTGGAAATCAATTAATCAATAAGAAATTATGACTGCAATGGGCCAAGTACTGTGCTAGGTGCTAATGATATGACTATAAAAAATAAATGAAATAATCTCTACTCACAAAAAAAAAAAGCAGAATTGGCCAAATGGAAAAGGAGATACAAAAGCAAACTGAAGAAAACAATTCCTTAAAAATTAGAATTGGGCAATTGGAAGCTAACGACTCTATGAGACATCAAGAATCAATCAAACAAAATCAAAAGAATGAAAAAATTGGGGCAGCTAGGTGGCACAGGGGATAGAACACCATCCCTGGAGTCAGAAGGACCTGAGCTCAAGTCTGGCCTCAGACACTTGACGCTTACTAGCTGTGTGACCCTGGGCAAGTCACTTAACCCACTGCTTAGCTTAAAAAAAAAAAAAGAATGAAAAAATACAAGAAAATGTAAAACGCCTCACTGAAAAAACAACTGACCTGGAAAATAGAACCAAGAGAGATAATTTAAGAATTATTGGTCTACCTGAAAGCCATGATCAAAAAAAAGAGCCTGAAAAGCATCTTTCAAGAAATCATCATGGAAAGCTGTCCTGAGGTCCTAGAACTAGAGGGTAAAATAGTCATCAAAAGAATCCAATCACCTCCTGAAAGATATTCTAAATTGAAAATGCCAAGGAATATTGTGACCAAATTCCAGAATTATCAGGTCCAGGAGAAAATACTGCAAGAGGCCAAAATAAAACAATTTAAATATCACAGAACTACACTCAAAATTATGCAGGACCTTGCAGCTTCTACATCATGCCACTAACAAAATTCAAACCCTCATTTCCTCATACCTAGCTTACGTTCCTTCTTAAACTACTTGAGAGCAAGTGTCTTTTGTCTTTCTTCATATCCCCAGAATTTAATAGGTGCTAGCATACAGTAGGTCCTTAACAAATTATTATTGAATGACCTCCTAGTTCATTTTTCCACATTTTGTCTTTTCCCTCTCTAAGCCATCTACATAGACATATGAATCAATTTACTGAACAAGAAATATCAGTGATGTGGTTATAACAATATCTACCAAGGTCCCCATCACGTATTCTAACCTAGTCTTTTGTTATTGCTGAGTATTTTTACATTTTTGTAATCACATATTTTCTGTATTTTTTTAACAAGAACAATACTCTTATTTGGCAATGCACCGTGACTTGTTCTTTGCATCTTTTATTTTTAAACAAGTATTTTTTAATAATCTGTCCTTCCCCCACTAACCTTACTTCATTAAGTAAAATTATTTCTTAATCTCTCAATATACATCGGCCTATACTGGCAAAACAAATTCTAATATTAGCCATGTCCAAAATGGCATATCTCTTTCTGAAATTTAAATTCATCACTTTTCAATTTCACATTTTCTAGACTCATGGCTTACTTATCATTGTGTAGATCAGAATTCAAAGTTTTTCAACATTGTTTTTCCATACAGTATTATTATTGTATAAATTGTTCTAATTCTGGTTACTTCACTCTTCATAAGTTCATAAAGGTCTTCCCAGTTTTCTCTGAAATTGTTCATTTTATCATTTCTAATGGCATGACAATACTCCATTACATTCATATACTTCAATTTATTTAGCCATTACTCCAATAAGTAAGGGGAATTTTGTTTCAAAAAAACATTATGCTACTGTTTCT